TCAATAAAGATGTTCGATTTTCCACAATTCATGCATGGTGATATGAGCTAAAACAAAGTCACATCAATACATCACATCAATGCATCTATACTTCATTAGATGTCCGCCTGTGCAGCTTCATGTGTTAGAAGTCCATGAGGAATATCTTTAGATCTGAGTGGTGCGACATCAGTGCTCCATCATCTATATACAAGGCTCTGAGTGCGCCTGTGCGGGTATATCTTTAGATCTGAGTGATGGATTATGGTGAGTTAGGGCTCTTTTTAATCGTGAAAGTCTGCTGTAAATAATGTTGTTTTCTACGATCTGTGCATGTTTCATAGCCTGGGAAAACCTAAACGAACTTCCAGCAAATTTTAGATATGCTCTGCAAGTCAGTCTGGCCAAGAGCCCATTCAAGCCCATTTCCACCGCCGGCGTTAGTCTTCGGGTTTAATTTAACATTAACCAAAATTAATAAATGCTGTTCAAAATCATTGTTAGTTTGTGAAACCTAAAACACACACAGACACACACATCTACATCATAACATCTAAATTAGTTTTATTCAAGTCAAAAATGTATTTAATATTGCAGAATCAACCTAAATACATGAATTAATAGAATCAAAAAATATTTTGTTGGTATAAATTTTATACCAACAAAATATTTTTTATGGGTGAAATCAAGTAAAAAATAAAAAATGAACCTCTTTAGGTTGCCACTTTTTAGTGCACTATTGTAAGAGACCTAAATACAGAATACAGAACATTGCAGAGAGAATAAGCATGAAAAAAAGAGTTAAACATGTTTAACGGATTATAGCAGAGAGAGAGAGGAAGAGAGTGAGAGTGAGTGTGAGAGAGAGAGAGAGAGAGAGAGAGAGAGAGAGAGAGAGAGAGAGAGAGAGAGAGAGAGAGAGAGAGAGAGAGAGAGAGAGAGAGAGAGAGGCTTAACACAGGACAACTGCATAGGCATCACAGGAGATTTTTCTCTTTTAATCAGCAACATGTAAGGATTATTTATTCTGTTTTTTCCAAGTGTACTCTTAACCATGGACAGTGATGATTTATGATAGTAATAATACCATGATTATTTGACATATACCATTATCATCAAGAACAGGCAGTGGCTTCATAACTTCACCTGTGCTCACAGAAGAATCTGCTATGGAGATGATTATTTACAGGTCCCCCCTCCCCTTATAAAGTGTTTTCACCATTCTAAAGGCCTGAATGTATGTGGTGATTTCATGGAGTAGAACATGTTTCTGGATCAACATCCTTGTTGATCCTGGAACAACATTCCAATCAACCAGTCAAATTTGAGGGATAGTTTTTTTAGGTAGCCAAGGTCCCTTTCAAAAGCTTCACTCTAAGCTGCGCTGATAGCGTTTTGGGGAATATCTTTGATTGACCAGCTGTGAAGTAACACCTCAATGAAATTGAACTTGGTAGTCTCAGACGGTGTGACGTCATTGGAATGTGCACTCGTCAGAGGCTATAATTAGATTTGCCACAGGTGCATCCTCAGGTTTCTTTGTCTTCAGATCATACTGTTTGCGTGTGACAAGCTCTCTCTTTCTGCCTCTCTGCTAGGAGTTATTTTCACTAGGCAGTGTGCAGAAAAGTCTCTCTTTCTTCTCCCATTCTTGTTAAGAAAAAAAAAAAGAGTAAAAGAAAAATGAGTGACGTAAGCGGTGTGTGTCTCCGTGTTCACGGCCCATGCCTGAATGCAATTCACACCAGTTTTGCTTCGTTTATTTGGAGGAAGTGCATGGTTGAAGCAGGGCGAGTGCGAGCACTGCGAGGGTTTTCCGGTTAAAGTGCTACACGCTCGTCTCACTTACTTCCTAAGGCCAGCACCCACTCTACCATCGTGGGGCTCTCGTATGGATCTGGCTGAGGAGCAGGAGACGGGTCTGTCCCTATCACTCGCTCTCTCTCCAGATCTGGATGTCCTTTTGCGCGATCCTAAAGCATTCCCTGGTGTTTCTTTGGCTTGTGCGGAGAACAGCGTATCTCTTGCATGGGCTAAGGATTTTGAGATTCCTGTCTCTGAGCGTTACTCACGCAATGATAAAGCGTATGAGGAACTACTCACACAGTGGCCAGGTTACAGCTAGACCGACAACGTGAGCAAGAGACCCCCAAACGAACACCATGTCAGTGTTGCAGCGTACCAGGCTGACCTGCTGAAGGACCTGGGTACGGGAGGTTCCATCTTCGAGGAAGCGTTTTCTGAGCTCCCTTAACCCTCTGGGGTCTAAGGTGTTTTTGGGGTCCTTGAGATGTTTGGACAATGCCCTGACATTTGTGTTTTTTTCAGTTGCTTATAAACATAGTAATGGCAAAGGTGTAATTACACTCCATTTTTAATACAAACAGCGCTACCATAATATGTGAGCAACATGTATGTACATGTTTGTATTTTTGAGAGAATAATGTTTATGCATGGTTATTGAAAAAACAAAAAAATTAAGTTTCTGAAATAAGGCCACAAAACACATACTAAATATGTGTCCACAAGACTTTTGACTGATGGATCTTGTCGCATAGTTTTTTGCTTCAAAATGATCTGAAAATCATCATGCCTAATCATAAAATATAAAACAATCAGACATAAAACAATACATTGATTTAAATTTTGTTAGACACTTTTTGTTTGGAAAGGCAATATGCATGGAGCCGTGAATGATCACGAATACTGATGTGGCACTGATGTCACCCGAGAAGACAATGACCTGCATAATGTCCCTTTCAGTCATTCAGGTATGTCACTGAGCCATAAGAAAGAATGCAAGGACAATATATATATATATATATATTCAACAAAATTGGTTCACAGTTGGAAACATCTCGAAAAAATGTTTTTCCACAAATTGTGTATGCTTGCAAATTGTATAATATCCAAGGTAAACATTTCTAGTAATTGTGTAGTTAATTCTCATGCTGTATTTTCAGAAAGTTTTGGAATATGTATCCTCTCCCCAAATTTGTCACTAATAAAACACAATAAAAATTGTGTTTCTGGGTTCTCAGGGTTTCTGTGGCTGCTTTATCAGCTTGCCACGCCTTGATTGACGGGGTACCACTCGGGAAGCATCGTCTGCTTGCTCGCTTTATCCGTGGGGCCAGACGGCTGAGGCCTCCCTCTAGAACCAAGTTTTCTTCATGGGAATTAGCTATAGTCTTTCAGGGGCTGGTAGAGAACATCTAGAGTCAGTGACTGACAAGCTTCTGACTCTAAAAATGTTTTTTCTTATGGCTATCAACTCACTAAAAATAAGTGGGGATTTGCAGGCTCTGTCTTTCTCGCCATCATGCTTAGACTTTGACCCTGGAATGGTGAAAGCAATTTTGGAAAAAAAAAAGTTTCCTTTCTCAACCATACACCGTACACTCTTGAAGCCTTCTGCCCTCCGCTGTTCTCAGGAGAAACTTTACCGACTGTGACCAGCTTGCTCTTCTGGGGCCTCATGTATAAAACCTTCCGTAGATTTCAGCCTACATGAGTTTTGCTATGTAGAATACGATTGAAAGCGGAATTATCATGTGCTAGCCAAGTATCCTTGCTGTAGTTAAAACATTAAAACACAGGAAAAGTGTTCAAAAGCAGCGCATCCACTACAAATATTTATATTTTAAATAATATACAAATATTCGGTCCAGAATGTCCGAATGGTGCGCACATATTTATGGCTAGTTTATTCTTTATAAATCCTGATATGTGCGTGGAAAATTGCGTCCCCAGAAAATCAGGCCCCAGGCCTACGTACACCGAACTAGCCAGTGGCGAAAGTATTCGTATTCAGAGCAACTATTTGTTTGTAATTGGGGCCGAAACAACACCATGCAAACAATTTCACATTGGGTTAGGGATACTATTGTTATGCGGCAGACTAGTCTTCTCCCCACACATTCATACAATTTTATAGTTTGGATGTTCATGCTACTCCGGGCTCACACGTCCTTGAGTCAATATCACAAGCTCATGTCTAAGACATTTTGCGTGCTTGGGAGCACACACTACACTACCGTGAGAGGTCCAGACACCCCCAGTGTGGCGGAAGGGTATTCTCGTATTCTGCGCCATCAGCGTACCATAGTGTGAAGCTTATGAAAGTGAACGTCCTGGGTTATTTGACTGTAACCCTGTTTCCTGAAATAGCAGGAACGAGATTCTGCGCTTCATTGCCGCACTGAGGATGTACCAGGACCGCTCTTCAGACAAAGTGCTGCCTTAGGATGCACTTGTGGCACATCTAATGATAGCCGCACTGAGCGCGCATTCTAATGATGTCACCATCTGAGGCTACCAACTTCAATGACAATTTTATTGAGGTGTTATACACATACTTCAGGGTTACAATCAAGTAACCCGAGACGTTTAGGCTTACAACAAGGGTTAGGGGCTTCGACTCCATTCTTATTCTCCTATCATTTTCCTATGATTTTAGGGATAAGTTATGGGTAGGGTTAGGTTTAGGGGTAGGGAAAGGGTTAGGACCATGTTTTGGACAGGAATGTTGTTCCAGGATCAACAATAAATGTCTTAACATGTCTTACTTGGCAAAATCACAGCGACCGTATGTATGCTTGGGCTGTTGAAGAAAATATAAAAAATTTACACAAAAGAAAATAACAATACAATAAACTGTAACTGTGTAAAAGGTCAGCTGAAGGTTGCTAGAAGTGTTATGCGGTTAAATGTCAAAATAAAGAAGGGTTTGTCACTTTCACATCCTGCAGATGCAATTTGTCACATGGCATTTGCTGCATCTTTTAACCTAGTTTCCATGAGCAACTATGGCAGAATTCACATCACATAGTTCCAGGGGGAGCAACGGCCCTTGAATGGGAATGCTAATAATAGTTCTCCTGCTTGAGAATCACTGCTCCAGAAGGAACATTTGTATGAATGGCTTATATAAAGCATGATATTACCATAGCACCACATCCAAAGCACCATGGTTATATCACTGCATACTTTACTTAATGAGTAGTAAAAGTGAGCCGCACCTCTGTGTCTGAAGGAGTTCTCTCTGGAGCGGACACGCGGGGAGCTCAAGCCCTTGTCGCTGAGGTGCGGGGATGTGGGCTCTTTGTCACTGGAGATATCTGGAAGCGGCTCCCGGTCTGTGATGCAGGGCGTGATGCTCTGCTGTCTCTGCAGGGCCAGTGGTGAAGTCACACCCTGAGCAAAAAGAGGATGCCATTGAAATGTGCAAATATACTGTATGCTGAGTTGTCACGAAAACGTCTTTCTAATCCAAAGATTAAAGATGGCAAAGTGTTCAGTTGTCTCTCATGAGAGATTACAACACTTATCATTGATATAGGATCTGGAGAAGGCACTGCCACATGACATATTATGTAACATGCATCGAGAATAATCCTGCTGTTTTGCAAAGAAGCAATAAACTTACATAGTGTTATAGAGAAATAAAATAGACTTGAATAGTCATGTACAGTCTTGCCAAATGACAGCAAAATGGAATTACCAAATACCAAATGCTTCAAAATAATACAAAAAGCATAAGATTTTATACATGAAATAAGATCCATTTCATTGTTCAAATACCAAAAAATAATGCTAGAAGCTGTCAATCTTCTGATGATACCAATACAAATATTTGTCTTAATCCCAGGGAGAACAGATTCCTTTCAACAACTTTTACACTACTATTGCAAAGTTTGTGGTTGGTACGATTTTTTTAGTGTTTTGGGGGGAAAAAGTCTCAAAAAAGTCTCATATAAAAACACAGCAAAAACATATTGTGAAATATTATTACGGGATAATTTAAAATGGTTGAGTTTATTTTAATATGCAATTTATTCCTGTGATGAATTTCCAGCATTATTACACCACTGCTCAAGAAACATTTCTGATTATTATCAATTTTGAAAACTCTTGTGCTGCTTTATATTCATATTTTTGTAGAAAGCGTGATGTATTTTGCAGGATTGTTTGAGGAATAGAAAGTTCAAATAACAGCATTTATTTGGAATAGAAATCTTTTGTAACATTATAAATGTATTGACTTGTCAGTTTTGATCAATTTAATGTATCCTTGCTGAATAAAAATAGAAATTTCCTTAAAAATAAAATAAAATATATATTTTTTAATTGCAGTGTATTAATTGCTTAACAATGAGACAACTAGTGAAAATGCTTCTATTTGCAATTTTTTTTTCCATCACACGTTATAATATTAGCAGAACAATTTGGGTGAAATATTTACTCCCCCAAAATGACAGTAAAATGTCAGTATAATCTAAAACCTGTTTATTTCAGGTATACAAGATTTTCCAGTGTGGTCTCAGACTTTCTGACACAGTGTATTTGGTGTTCATGAAATGTAATAACTCACCTCCTTCACCTTTCTGAGTAACTTCAGCCATTGACTGTTGGAGACAAAAAGTTTAGTATCACACTATCACATATTTTTAAAAATGTTAAAAGTGCATGTTTTGCCCACAAATATATACTTATACAAAGGATAATCATTCAAGAAGGTTTACAGGAACCAGGCTGTTGGCCCACCTGCACTCTTCAGGGCTATCAGAGAGCAGGAGGAGGAACTTGTCTTGGGGCAGGATGAGGGCAAAGCAGCTGTCTCTACGTCCGCCAGGGGGTAAACGGGGCAAGTCCAAGATTTCTTTACCCTCCACTATGGACTCACAGTTACTCTGGAGCGCCACCACCTGGTCAGCTGGTGAGTCTGCATCTCGACACACCATCAGGTTTCCTTCCACCGTCAACACCAGATACTTTTCTTTCCATTGCTTGAACATGAAGCCCCCTTAGAGAAAAACAGAGGGTACATCTGAATACGGAGACTTGAATACGTGAAATTGCACAGTTTTTGCCCCATTCTTAGAAAACAGTGAAGTTGTGTGGCAGAAAATTTCAAGAAAATTATATTTATTGTTATTTTTTGAAAAGGTTACTTATAGAAATTACACTTTCTATAAATCATCACACAAAACTGTATTGTTCAGGCTGAGATTAGCAGGTTCGTAGAGCTCCTTAAATCAAATCATTTTAATTTAAATTTGAATCATTTTTTAACATTATGACACGGTCATGTTTAGTTACATCGTCTTGTTTAGTTTATAGTCACGGTTTTCATTGTCTCTATTTGCCTGTGTTAGATGCCATGGTGTATTATTACTCACATACCTGTTCCCTGTCTTTAGCTCTTTGTATTTAAGCCCTGTGTTCCTTCTGCTCATTGTCTCATGTTAATGTTATGTTCATGTGTAGTTTCTGATATATCTTCATGTTCATTAAAAGTTGCTCGTTACCATTCTTTCTGTATCACCCATCATCCTTGGAATTTAGACTATACATGCATAACACAGAGCCTAACTGAAGCATAACCTTAAAGCGCTCCATTATTTCAACCCCAGTCACGGTAAGTTTTTACTATTCAAACAGATTTAATAGATAACAGTCAATTCTGGTAGTATCCCTCAGTTTAACTGTGCCTTGCAAAAAAATCACACATAAGTAAAATCAAGAAGAAGACAAAAACAACGAAACACAATATCAATAATCCATGATATTCATATTTCACAAATATTTTGTGAGAGCCCAGGCTGGTACATTCAAAATGTTTTGCCATTTAATGATACAGGGATGAAGATCATCCAACAAATATAATTGGACCAGTCAATATTTGAGTACTCATTCAGGTACGTCTACTTTTTTTCAAATACCTAAACTATGGTACTGAGGCAGTGGATGATATATGATGTTACAAACATGCTACGATTTTTAAAAGAGGAAATATAACAGGGTTAAACAGAAGTCCACACCTTAATTTTTTCTCTTGACAATAGATGGCATGAAATCACATCTCAGCACATTTAAAAAATGGATACACTCTTCTTTATTGTGTAATTTCATCTGAATATCAACATTTGTGAGATTTAGTCAACAAGTAACAACTAATTCCGAAAATATATTGAACAAAACAATTTTTTTTTTGAAATTGTGTGTATATATTTGCTAATGAGGGATTTGTGGACCAATTCATGTTGTTAGATTTGTGGAGTATACATTTTAGTTTTTATTTTGAAGTCAAAAGATAAAATTAGAAGGAGAAGAGTGGCATGTTGTTGTTATTGTTATGTTAGCCCAGTAGTGGAAGAAGATGGCCTCTTTGAATAACCAGCTGATCCAAAATGCAATAGCTAGTTCTTTCTAGAACCAGGAATTATGACCATATTAGCCCGGTTCTGTCAACACTGCTTTGGCTCATAAACATTTTAAAATCTTGCTAATTTCAAAGCACTAAATGGTTTAGCTCCTCAGTACTTGAGCGAGCTCTTAGCTCATTATAGTCCTTCACGTATTGCGATCTCAAAATTCTGGCCAGTTGATAATACTTAGATTATCAAAATCAACATGCAGCAGATCTTTTTCCTGTTTAGCACCTAAACTCTAGAACAGTCTTCCTTACATTGTCCGGGAAGCAGACACACCTAGTCAGTTAAATACTAAAAATACATCTTAACCTGGAATACACTTAACACATTATCACATTTCTATAAATTCAAATCTGTTAAAGGATTGTTAGGCGGCATAAAGTAGGTCAGCCGGAACCGGGAACACTTCATATAACACCCGATATCATAAGATTATATCAAAAGAACAATGGCATCTATGTTAATATCAGTATGTCTGTCTCATCCTTATCTTGAGGTTACCGTAGTCAGCCGGATCTGGTCCATATCCAGACCAGATGGTGGACCTGCACCTACAGTAGACACGACCACAACAGCCCTGAATATCAGCAGAAACCATATCAGCTAGACAATCCCCTGTGAAGGCTTCGTCGACACGACAGCCATCGCCACAGATCCTCAGCAAAGACCACAAGAACCAGACAAGCCCTCTGCACCGACCACGATTGCCAGCTTCATCTCTATACTGGCATGATCAATCCCATCTTCAAGCAGAAGGAACTGGATGAAATATTTTGAATGATACCAATCCACAATCTGACTTCTGACATGATGTAGTCTGAATCATAATGGCACCGTGTTCGTTTGTTGACCAGAAGAGAACTGAGCGACTGTGTCTGGTTTCTCACAATTCCATTCTGTCATGGAGTTTGGGTTCCTTGCCACTGGCGCCTCTGGCTTGGGACACTTCAATTATGCAGCAATATTATATCAAGTATTCAACAATATTATTGATCTGACTGCACTGACAATATTTGATGATAACTGAACTGAGGACATGACATCACGGTTTTCTGCAGAGCTGCTTTATAGACAAATTGAACTCATTCCCTAATTGATGGTCTTTACAACAGAACCGAATCAACATGGAACAATGACACTTTTTTCCCTTTTAGAACTGCATTACATTCGAAATGAAAAATGTTTGCATCATTTAATTACTTTCCCGTTATCACTGTAAAGCTGCTTTGAAACATTATGTATTGTATAAAGCGCTATCAAAATAAATGTAACTTGAATTTTACATTTGATGTTATTAAAACTAATTTAGCAAATGTTTATATGTATTTCCTTTAACAACGCATTGTTAGCACACACTGATGCATTCATTGTGCACATGCTAAACTTGCATCTAAATATGTTAAAATTGAATGTAAGTAAAGTAAAATATTTCAAACCAGATAGGACAATATTTTTAGTATATAGTATTTAGTATATAGTATAATCTTTTTTTTTTTGTAGACTTGAGTCATCCCCATTATCATAATTTGACCTAAATACAGACATACAGAGGGGTGGAAGCAATGTGGACAGGTGACACACTTTACGCTGTGAAAGCCTGAAATCAATAGATGAAGAGCACATACAAATAGCTCACTGTCAGATTATAGATTTATTTAAACATCAGGTAGATTAGCGTTACAGTATAATGATCGGTAAAAGAGATTTTCACGCCATTACCTCAACGTTGTTTTTTATTAAAGCTGTGAGATATGTCACTGGTGGATATTTTATGTTAAATGTAGTCCTACGTTCTGGACTGAATGTTGGCAGTGTGAAACACAAACATAAAACTCTTTTAATCTCGATCAATGTGTCGTGATCTTCTACAGGACACATCCTTTCGCTTTGCATCAATTGCAGGTCATAAGCCATCAAAGAACCTTTAAAAAGGAGTTATATGAACCGGACAAATGTCTGTGCAACATAAATTTTAAATTTACTACATAGACACAAACAAATCATTAGGCAAATAGTTTTCACTTTATGGATTGATATAGGACTATATAATAATGAGTGGCACACAAAGTGACTAAAACATTAGTGAACCAAATAAGAAAAAGATCATCTCAGCTGGCACAGGTGTAATGCAGGGATTTAAAAGAAGAGGGAAATCAAAAAGTGTAAACTTTACCATATTTCTTGAGGAATCCTCTGTGCGCCACTGCTACGCTCATTCCTGTGCCCAGCCAAGCGGCAGAGATACAAAGCGTTCGAGCTGCGGCTTTACTTGCAATTTGAGAGAGAGACATGCACATAATCCGCACTCATTTAGAACATTCCAGCGGGCAGCGTCCAATCTCAGCATGCTGAGCAGGGCATTATGGGATTGTAGCGACTGCATCTGAAAGGGAAGACACACCAGTGCTTATAAACATCACATGCACCCATAAGCTGCCAATCATGATCAGAACCATGAGAAAATCCCATCGAGCTGTAGGTTGACAAATGACATGTCAACAAAGTCTATCTCTAAATGTACACTACACATAAGAAAAAACACGTGATTTGGTTGGACTTCTGCATATATTGATCAAAAAATTTCAAAAGAGTACATAAATGCAGTATGCTTATAAAAACAACATGCAAACAATAATGTTTCCACATGCTGTGTACACATTCACATATGAATCCCTGCACTCTTAATAAATAAGGTAAACACTAAAGGTTTGTTATTGGCATTGATGGTTCTATGAAGAACCTTTATCATTCACGGAACCTTTTTATTACACAAAAGGTTATTTTTCGTGGAAAAAGTTTATTTAGATAAAAATAATTGTCAGGATTCAGATTGGGGAGACCCAGACTCAGCAGGGCAGTGACATTTATTAACAGGAGACAGTACAAGATGTGGGGTGAGGCAGGAACAAACAGAAGGATCAACAGGACACAACGACAGGACAGCTGTGGGTGACCAACTCCAGAGGACAACAGGTCGAAGAACTGCAGAGGACGAGACCAGGCCAGGCAGAAGGTTGAGGTGAAGACAGGGCAAGGAACCATGAAGCAGAGATCTGGCACTTGCTCCACACAGACCCTGAACCAGTGTAACGGCCAGGCAGAAGAAACCAGCAGGCAGGGCATCTCGGGGAGCAGACAGGAACCAACACAAGACAAGGGACAACAAAAACAAGAGCAAAATAAAAACTGGCAAAAACTAGAACACCAGAAAACAATAAGAAACTAAATATAACTGGAGCTATAGCAAAGGAAAAATAAAATAAATTCTGTAAATGAATAACTGGAACTAGTAAACAAAGAAAAACAAGACTCCAATCTAGAAGGCAAGCTAGAGATAAACTAAATAAAATATTAGTAAAAAAAAAAAAGCAAAAACAAAAGATGAATCAAAAACAAAGCTTTGGAGAACTAGAGAAAAATAAAGACTAGGACTTGACTAGACTAAAAATCAGGAACAAAGAAAATACTGATAATAAATACAAAGCTAGAATTGACAGGAACACTAACTGTAGCTAGTGGTGGCAATTTCAAAACACTGCTTCATGAAGCTTCGAAACCTTTACGGATCTTTTGTTCCAAATCATTGGTTCGGAGCGTGTATCAAACTGCCAGAGTCACGTGATTTCAGTAAACAAGGCTTCCTTACGTCATAACTGTTTCGAAACACTCGAAATGTTTAATGGTTCACCGCTGGGGGCGAAGATCTCTGAGTCACTAAGAACCAATGAACTACAATGAACCAATGAACTAGCGTCTGTGAGTTTTAACCATGGTTTTACCTGATCTCTGATCAGTTTTATCATTTTTTTAGATGTTTTAATTAGACATTAGTATAACTCAAATGAATAATGGTAGTTAATAGTCTCTTATTGGCCTGTTTAGCTGAGCCATTGATAGAACAAACAAAACCAATCCTGACAATTGATAAAATAGTATATAGACACTTGATAATCTTATTAGATGCTTAGATAATTGCATTTGAAAGATTTTACTTTCAATAAAAAATTTGCAATAGATTTGTAAAAGGTGTTTTTATGCATGTTTGGCCAGGGTTTTTGTTGCATTTACACTGTTCTGACCACTAGGGGTCGGCGTGGTAGCAGGAAACAAGGAAGCACAACAAGAGAAGGACTTGGCAAACACAAACAAAGACAAAGCCAAGTGCTGACACACAAAACAAACATAGAGGCATGAAACAAAGACAACACAGACAAGGCTGTCAGGGCAGAACCCTGACAATAATGCTATGGGGAAGCACGTGTGACAAACACACCAATTAATTGGCCGACGACAGTCCTTGACGTCTCAAGAGGTGCAGCCCTAAGTAAAAAAGGGCGCCTGTAATACCACCATCAGCTTTATTGTCTTCAGGAGCTGCTTGTTTGTATGCATGTGTAAGATAAAAGATGTGTGTGCTCGTTGTGTTGCAATTGTGGTAAGCTCTGTTCTTGCTTTATTCTCTTCCGAGAGCGTAGCGTTTGCACAGAGCGTGTTGAGCTCTCAAGGGAATAGGATGCACTCATGGTGAAGTATTTACAGTAGCAAGCTCTGTTGTTATGAAGCTCTGATACTTAAAGTTTTTTTCAACCAAGTAGCGGTTGATAAAAAAAATAATTCTAATTAGCGGTCAACTAATTACCATAGTCTCGACATGATTACACGTAACGTTCTATAAGTAGCTGTTCATGTCCTCGGAGTGGGAATTATGTGTTTCTATGGCAACACCAATGAGCTCTTCAAGGACGTAAATGCTTTTTACAAGTTGAAATCGTGTAATTAAAGGGTTAGTTCACCCAAAAATGAAAATGATGTCATTAATGACTCTCCCTCATGTCGTCCCAAGCCCGTAAGACCTCCGTTCATCTTCGGAACACAGTTTAAGATATTTTAGATTTAGTCCGAGAGCTTTCTGTCCCTCCATTGAAAATGTATGTACGGTATTACCTTTCTGGACAAGGACAATATACCGTACATACATTTTCAGTGGAGGGACAGAGTTTGAGTTTTATGAATGTCATTTCACGAGATTACACTCATGTCAGATGGAAAAAAAGGTAATGAGTATTTGGCGTGCTGTCCGAGGAGAGGGCACCGAGCTCAGTATTTGGCCCGAACCCAGAGCCAACAGACACTGTATCAAGTTATAGAAGAACAGTTCAAACTATAAAGGCGGTCAAAAATGGCAAATTACTGGCCACAGAAGTTAACCAGGCTGCTGTAACCCAAGGAGTTTACATCACATTACCATTAAAGCCTAGACACACATTGGCCCTCATTTATCATTCTTGCGTAGAAACGGGCGTATATGTTGGCGTAAGATTATGCTTACACTCCTCTCACCGCCTGATTTATGAAGCTGTGCGTACCTTTGAAATCCAGGTGTACGCAATACCTGCCCTTGATAAATCCCGCGGCTGAAAACGATCGTCATTAGAATAACACGCCCCTATATATTCAAGTCTCCGCTTCCCACACGCCCTCATTTTACGCCATGGACACACGGAAGACGGCAAAGAAGAGAAACTTCTCTGACGTGGAGCCGAAATGACCTATCACAATGCAATATTTTACAGCACGTCTTTTGAATTAGCATTCAATTTCGAATCACGTTACATGTATTGGGGTGTACAATAGTGATGATGATGATGTGATGTGGAGTACCATTCATTCACATTAATAATTGCATGACAATTTGTAATATTCTTATTATTATTAGTATGATTTGTATTATTAATGACGCTTATTGTTATTTAGAAGAAGAATGTCATTATTATTATTTGTATTATTACTATTATTTAAAAGAAGAAGAATGTATTTTTTATTATTTTGTCAGTCTGAATTATTTTTTGGTCATGAAAGCCTTTCGTTACCGAACCCAGTCCGTGCGCACCTGCCGGGCCTAACCCTGAAACGTCAGGGTAAAGCGCACAGGCTCGCAACTGAAGGAATACATATGCTTACAAATCAAATGCTTTGGTAAAGTCACACAAACTAAACATTGAAGTCCATGTTGCACAAAAATAAACACTGAAGTTTATAATTACTATGTTGTTGTTTTTTTGTTTTACAGTGGGTCATAATATATAATATCTTTTAGTTTGTCAGTGCATTTTGTGGTGTTAGGAATTGTTTTTCTGCGCATTTCCGCACTAACTCAAAACGTGCGTACATGTACACCACCTCCTGAGCTGGCGTAGGATTTGAGCGTGCCGTACGCCAACGTCCATATTGATAAATCTCAAAGTCACCGTGGTTTTGGGTGTACGCCAGGTGTACGCACTTTTGATAAATGAGGGCCATTGTGTAGTAGCCAACTGCTATAAACAAAAACAGAGCAAAACACACAAAATAAGTCAAACAATACAAAATGAAAACTACTAATTGGACAAACAGATTAAATCACAGAAAACAAATCCAAAAATAATTAACAGACTGCTAGTGGCAATATAACAAAGGGTGGGGCTAATGTGCATAATTACCGGCATGTCACACTTTAAGTGACGGCTCTGAGACTAGCCGCTCTTCACCTAAACCACTAGCATTAGCATAGAGCTACAAATATAAAACAAACAAATAAACAAAAGGGAAACTGTCACACCGTAGGTTAAAATGGCAGCAGAACAAACAGTGCAGTCTAACAGCGTTGTCTAGGGCGCCTTTGCCCCGCAGTCCACCGAAACGAACTGCTCACGAGCAGATTGACGCACCAGTAGTGGATCGCTAGACCCACAAAATATTCAGTTACTCACAGCTTCGTTCATAATAGACAAACCACAAATGTACAGGAGTTCCATCTGATCGCACACATCAGCTGTGGTAAAAGACAGCCTGTACCCAAAAGCAAGGCCACACCAATCCTAGCCATAACCTCGCTCCCGCAGAGCTGCGCGCACACCTGAACTCCATCTTAAATAGGCCAGGGACATCTGCCAATAGGCTGTCACATCCATCACTCACGTTACAACCACAAATAATAGGGCGGGATCTAACCCGCCCTATTATTTGTAGAGGGCTCCGAGCTCGGTAGTTGGCCTGAACCCAGATTACTCTGCTGATAGCCCCCAAAACTTGAAGAGCTCGAAGCTAAAGGTGTGCAAATAATAGGGAGGGGTTAGTCAAGTCAAGTCACCGCGCTTTTAACAATATGGACTGTTTCAAAGCAGCTTTACAGTGATAACAGGAAATTAAAGTAACAGAGATTGTTTTGGCTTTACAGCAGCTCTAGAAAAATTTATTTGTCCAGCTAAAGTTAGCTTTGATCGATTCACGATAAAAATTTTTTTTAAAAATTAATCTCTGCTCAAGCTTTAAAAACACAAACCTGTGAAAACGTTGATGGCGTGCACATGTGTATTACGTGTTTTAGTCCAGGCCAGCC